TGGTGCTGAGAGCTGGGACTTCAGTGTTCATTGTTAATGTACTGTATAAACCTTTTACGAATGCTAAGGTTATGTGGATTTATTTAATTTTCTGCAATATGGGGTTTAATTTGGCTCCACATTTAAGTCTCAGAAAAAGAGCTTGTTTTACAAAAAGCTAGAACTAGTCGAATAGAATTCCCATGGAAAGCTGACGAATTAGCTGTTCCCCTATGCTGGAAATCCCTTCGTTGCAGCTTTGTTATGCTATGCAAATCTGAAAGACATTTGCATTTCTCTCAGTTTGGACAAGCAGGCCAGGTATGTATTAGAAATGTTTACCAGCATAGCAGTGCCTGTTGGGGCTGTGGATTTTTTGTGACATTTCCATGCCTGCAAATGCCTTAGCTCAACTGAGCCACCTTGGAAGCTGAATTTTTTAATTTTATTTCTTACAAGTGGTGGAAGGGGAAGAGTCACTACTCAAAGTAAATTTCTCATGTTCTCCCCCTTAATGTATTTTGGATCATGCAGTTCTTCCCCTGGCAAAAAGTGTACTGAAGTTCAATGAATTCTGCTGTAGTTAGGACTTCAGCATTAAGTATAGCATAACTGTTTCCAGCAGTATTTCTATATTAAAATGGTATGTCTAAGCCAGTTCTCTGGCTTTGTAATTTACCAGTTACTTCAAATTTTCCCTCTTTTGACATGTAGGCTAATTTTCTCTATATTTTATTTTACAAAATGGCATAAACGCTTACTGTAGAGGCATTTTGGATTTTTAATCAGATGGAATCTTAAACTTTCTTCCTCAAGCTTAAAACTTACAATGCAGTTGAAGAATATTAAGCTCTATCATACTGCAAACCTGTCTTACTAAAGCAGCATTTTCCAGTACAGGAACAAATCCCCTTTCTAAATGCCTGCAAACTGTACAATGCATGCTGGATATATGAGAACTGTGTTCTTGCTACTGAGCTGTTCTGGTCTGCTTCACTTCCCTGTAATTTGAACTGAATCTTTTGTAACTAAAATTTGACATTTGCTTCCATGGATTCCCCCTCTTCTGTGATTTTTTTTTTGTTTTTGTTTTTTGGAACACATACATGAAGGGTATTTCTTCCAGTACTCACATCCCATTCAGTCTCTCTGGCCTGCAATCTGAATATTTTGAGAGAGTAAATGGCTGCTAGCTGTATAATTGAGTACTTATTTCACTATAGCAGGCCTTTCCCCCCACCCCCCATCTTTCTTGCTTAATTTTCTCATGCTTTAATTTTCTTAAGCCCTTAAATTACAGTTTTACTCCTCTGCAGAAGCAGGGACTCTCCCAAAATGGAATCGGAGAAAGCTATGAGTGGAGAGTTCCAGCTTCAAAACAGAAGTTCAAAAAGGCAACACTGAAGCCTTCTCCAAAAGGCATTAGCATGATTGTCACATGTTCCGTTTACTGTTCAGAATCACCTCCTATAACCAAGACACGGAATATTAAATACTGTAACCCATTCTATGATCAGTGGTGTCTGAAGAAAGACTACAGGCTGTTGTTTTTGTTAAACTGACTTTATGTGGAAGGCCCAAATCCTTCAACCACCCCCACTTAAAGAGTCCAATTCATAACAGTGGGATTACATGTACGCGTAACCTTTCGGCACAGGGCTTTGTGAAGAGCTGCCGCCGCCACCACCACCTCCTATTACGATTACTCAGCATTTCCCATAAGACTTTTCAATTGCTGTCTTTGCCCAATGGTAACCATTTAGGTGTTAGACCTCTCCCATAAGTGGAAATATTTTTTTCAGAGACTTGACCAAAATGGTTCAGCTGTTTTAGAGAGTGAGATGGGGGGGGAGGGGAGCTGGCTCTGGTGGTGAGCCCGGACGGAGCAGGAGGACTATGCCCAGGGCCATCCTTAGGGGACTCCACCCCCATCCTGCCTCTTTCTGTTCCCCTTGTACCCTCTCCCCAAAACTCCTTCTCCCAAGAGGAGCAGACAACAGCAGGGATTGGGCCCCCCTTCACTCACTACAAATGGGGGGATCCACAGGAAGCTGAGTGACCCTGCTCTGCTCTGCCACCATGGAGCAGGCTGTGGCCAAAGCCACGGCACTTTGCTTTCTGCCAATGCAGTGAAGTGGAGAAGGCTAGTGGGTTGCTCCCAAGCCCGGCCAAAGAGTTTGTGGGGCCCAAGGCGGCATGTTCTGGTTGGCTGCACTGTGTGGCTGGGCAGCAAGCAAGCAGCCAGGCAGGTGGGCGCTGGGCAGCACGGGGCCCTAGGCAATCATCTTGCCCTAAAGCTGGGCCTGTTCCACTGCCAAGTGCTCCCCCACCCCCCAACCCATGTTGCCAGTCCCAGGCCATCCTGGACCCATTGGCTAACAATAATACAGTTGAGGCAGGGCCCTCCAAAGCGTGGGGCCTGGGGCAACCACCCCAAAGCATCCTATGGACAGGATGGTCCCCCCTATTAGGGTGGCTAATACAGTTTGTCCAAAGGAAACCAAATTGAAAAACCTTCAAAAATGGCAGTTTACACATGCTCGTACTTAGATTTTTGGCTGCTAAGATCAAAAGCTTCTCTCCTGGTTTAGCATATGTTTGAGCCTCTCCCAACCCATAGTGTTGATGACCAGTTTGTGCCTGGGCCGTGCCCACAATACATGCTCCCTTCTACTCAGGGCTACAGTGGCAAAGGCAGATCTTTTCTTGTCGCTGCTGCTCCTGGTGGCTCTAGGCTGGGTGCTAAAACTTGGGGATCTGTCTTGTACTATGTGACACCTCTGCTGATACCCAGCCAACACTCACAGCTAATAGTCAGCCAGTAGGAGCTGTGCTTTGAACTGTAGTGCTATGTAATGCTCAGTAATCTGACATCAAAAACAATGAGTCTGGTGGCGCCTTAAAAAGACTAACAATTTTATTATGGAATAATTTTTTTTTTTTTTTACATATCAAGTTTAGGTGTCATGCGAGGCACCCAAAATTAGCTAACTCTTTTTATGTAGCGTAAAATGCCTAGGAGAGTTGATGTACCCACTCAGCAGACCTCTGCATACTCCGATAAATACACATACCCCAGTTGATAACCACTATTTTAAAGGATAAAACTTTTTACATTAATGTGGTCCTGCCACATTCTGCCCCAGAAAGGCAATAGAAAAGACCTCCAGGCAGGCCAGATGGGCTACAAAGGATGCAACCAATCAGGAGCCAGGAAGGACCTATAAAATGAGCTGCAAAGCAGAGCAGCAGCTAGTTGCAGTGGGATGCTGACTGGGTGATAGGCTGGCTGAGAGAGCAGCAGCACTGCAAACCGCTCCCTATGGAGAGCTTATTGCAGACTATGCTGGGACTCGGAGCTAAAGCCCTAAAGTCCGGGGGAAGACCCTGCCTCCACAAGGAGAAGCCCAGGGGCACCACTCTCTTGCGAGTGGGGCAACAGACTGAAGGACACTATAGACAGCACTGAGATGGGTACCTGGTAGACATGTAACCCGGAAGGAACCTGATTGATTCACATACACAGGGGCTATGTCTACACTCGCAGCTTCTTGTGCGAGTAATATGCAAATGAGGCTAAGCGTGGAATATTGCTGAGCCTCATTTGCATACCTAATGAGCCACCATTTTTTTCAGAAGAGGCTCTTGCGCAAGAAGGAGCGTCGACACTGCCCCTACTTGCGCAAGAAAAACCCTCTTGCGCAATGCCGTTACATCTATTACTTTTCAGGAAGAACAGCATTGCGCAAGAGGGTTTTTCTTGCACAAGTAGGGGCAGTGTCGACGCTCCTTCTTGCGCAAGAGCCTCTTCTGAAAAAAATGGTGGCTCATTAGGTATGCAAATGAGGCTTGGTGATATTCCACGCTTAGCCTCATTTGCATATTACTTGCACAAGAAGCTGCGAGTGTAGACATAGCCAGGGTGTGTGACATGGCTGGAGAGTTGTGAAAGAGGTTTTAAACAAGAAGAAATGCAGGCATGTGCACTCAGCCAGAGGGGGCACTCATGATAGGTGAATGCCCTCTCATTATAATTAATTTTTAAAATAAAGGGCTAAGGAATGAAAGACTAGGAGGAAAGGTAAAGACTAGCCCTTCTTTCAGGGTTAGCATTTCAGATTTAACTCCATCTTTAAGTATGCTCAGTCTTCCTCTGATGTTGGAAGCACTTTGGTACAGGATAGTGCTAAAACTTGGAGTCTTGAAGGAGAAAATGGTAATTTTGAAAAAATCTCTGGCTCTGGTACTTCCTTACAGCATTTTTTAGAGAAAACAATTATTCCTAAATGCTTTAGGTCAATATGGTTTTTCTTGTATGCAGTGTTGTATGTAGCTCTCTGGGTCCCAGGATATTAGAGACCCAAGGTGGGAGAGAGAGCTGCTATTGGACCAACTGCTTGTGGTGAGAGAAACAAGCCTGAAGTTCTTTCAATAAAATATCTCACCCACTCTGTCTCTTCAATAGTTTTCCTTGACCACTGTTAGCCTGTCTTGAATTGCATGTAAAGGTTTGCCAATTCCAGAGATAGGCAAGTCCATCTGACTTGAAAGGGTTCTGCTTTCTAGAATATGAAAAGCAGCTTACACCACTTGAGACTGGCTAATAATTTAATTTTTAACAAAAGGAAATGCCTTAGTATAGCAGTGCTCACATGATGCTATCTGCTCTAACTGTTTTGGGAGCAGTTTGCCAGACTGTTACATGGTCTGTTGCTTGAAGTGCTCTCAGCAGGATGCTTGAACTTTTCATCTCAACTATTCAACAAAAGGGAACAGATGGATTGTATGACCTGTTCCAATTCCATCGCAGAAGTGGCAGGGCTGGCTAGCTTTAGAAATCTTACATTGTCTTGCCCCATGAAGGCATAGTCATTAATTTGATTCTTTTAGACACATCAACAATTTGTCTTAAGGAGGTAGATACGGTCTATAAAATAAAGCAATCTAGACAATCTAAATGCTGCTATGCAGCTGGAACCTGTAATTCTACAATTAGCCCAACATTTAGTTGAACAGGTCACTTAAGGAAAAAGAAGAAAGGATTTTTATTCATACATAATTTTATGGGAAAGGAACAAACCAAAGCGTTAACAAAAAAATGAACGTTTTAAGCACACTGCTATTACAGTACATTTTAATAGTGGGCCACAAAATGCCAGTTTAAAAATAACATTTTCTAAACCTTTTTGAGACATGAAAGTATAACTTTACACCATTTTAAAGCATGCTTTCAGTAACTGAGCTTCTGTTTAGGAGGTAATAGATTTCAACTATTTGCTTTAATACGCCAGAGGTCACTAATATCTACTGATCTGGGAATAACAAAGCCTTCAGCAGTAAGTTAAAGCAAGTCTACATGAAAATGGGCCAAGTACTAAGCAAAGACAATTTTCCCTTTTCGCATTTCAGATGGGCCTATAGAGTATAAGCCACTTGCACAGCTTATACATTGTGCAATGCCTCACTGCACGTTCACATTACTCTACAAAAGAGAATTAATATAAATACATTTCTTCAGATGTAATAATCACCATTGGCTACATTTATAGTATTGCCATCCTCTTTCAGTGAAAACATTTGCAGTTTAAAACATCACACCTAACTGGCAATCAAAGCAGACTCCAGGGATACTTCCCATCTCAATATGGAACCTTTTGGTTGCATAACACATTCAATACCATTTCCTTGCCTCACTGAAAGTAATACTACTGTCTGCTCCATCTCTCACACAAAAACAGGCTTCGGCTTCCTTCATCTGATTTTTCAACAACCCTACTGAGGGAACCAGTTGTATTTTTATCAGAGAGACTAGTTAAGGGTTTGAGACATTTAGGTCTAGGACACAGAGAAGCTGGATTTTTTTCTCCTGTGATATGCTAGAAGATATACTAATAGTGATACTCAAGTTGTCCACAGCTAAGGGGCTAAAAACAACACTCACTGCTTCCCTATTTAAATACTGAATTATTCTAAACTATACCTATTGTATATTGCCAATGAGGAAGTTGTGCCGTTTTCCCTTTTTCCTGAAGTAAATCATTGCAGCTGGTCATAGTAACAAATCCCAGAAAAGTGTTGCATTCACGCACCTGTACTCTTAGTACATACTGTTCCCTCTTATACAAAGCTTCAAGTTTTCTAGAAAGCAATTTAACACTGGACCTCCCAAAAATCAAACAGACATGCATATTCATACCTTTAAGTCTCAGAATAACTAGACTTTTCTATGGGTTTCCCTGCCTTTCCAAACCAAGCTAGAACTCCTTCCATCCTGAATTAGCTTGGTTCTGCTAGGTAACATTTTCACATACCTCTTCCCAGAAAGGTGCCACCACTGAATACGAGAGAATTGCAGCATGCTAATTCTACTTAGATTCAGTTTGTAGTTTTGTGAGAAGAGACTGACTGAGTTTTCTCATTTCCCTAGTTTAGACATTTAAAAATCCACAGTCAGCATCTTCAATTAAAAAAAAAAAGTCAAGGTTGGTTTCTTCAGATCTTAGTAAAACCACTTATAAACAGACATGTTAGTTCAATTCAGTAAGCATTCCCACCTCAAGTGATACTGTGGCCAGCAGTCTTCCTTGATCTGTCCATGGGGTTACAGCTGTATTTTTATTGAGACGGTAGTCATGCATTGTCTTCCAAAGGAAATACTAGTCGGGTGCCCCTGCTTGTAACTTCATTATCTCCCATTCCAAGATCACGTTCCAATGCTTCCTCTGAATTGCTTTTTGTTTTCCTGCCATCGAGGCTAGTGGTAGCAGTGCGGGAGCCAGAAGAGCCATTAGCAGTTATTGTTGTATCACCATATGTCAGAGTGAGGTCGCCGTCATTCAGAATAAAATCCGAATCCTCCTCTCTAAGCTGTTCCTGATTCTGAGAGAAAAAAGCATCCAATAACATTTGGTCAATAGTATCTTTTCATTCTCTTAAGATAGCTAAACAAAGGAATCTACACTTATGAGTCAATGCATACAAATTAACAGTCAAGATACTATAAAATCCTGAATTACTTTCACTCAACTTTAAGAATTTAGTAAGTAAAATCTAAAACTTTTAAACTAAGTGTTTAAATATCACGTTAGTGTTCCCTGTAAAGCTACCTCTAAAAATAAGGGGTTTTAATTATAAAACCTGAGTCATGGAGCAAATATGGTTGGTTCTTAGCATTGAAAAGTCACTACAAAATAGAATTATAGAAGAAAGATGACAGCACAAGAACCTAAAAACCTAGGTTATTTTTATAGGCCAATATGTTAAATTATGACATGGGGTATACAATCGAAAGACAAAATCTGAGATTATGAAGAAGAATAAACAATAATAAAATCATTTACAAATATTAAGTTTTACAACATGCATGTGATAGGCAAGTGAATACAAATGCAAATCTATCAAGTGACTTGTTAAATATTACACATGAATCAGTCATTGCCACAAAAGATGGAGATACTTGCTCTAGGCACTGTTGAGGACAGAGTGGTGATGAGGGCTGTGGGTGTAAGTAAACAGGGATGTGCAGACTGACATAAATTAACAAGTTACCACCAGATGCTGTTACATTCAAGAATTGTTAGACATTTAAGAATGAGGTGTGTCAGGCTATATCTCCACTTGCAATTGATCGAAAAAACTTTTGTCGTTCACTGTGATTAACCCCTCCCCCAACCACAAAAATTTTGCTGCAACAAGTGTAAGTGTGAATGTCTGCTGACAAAGCAAAAGCGTGTGTGTGTGCGCATGTGTGTGTGTGTTTAAAGACCAATGAGGGCACTCCCTACAAATTAAGCCAGTACAGCCTACTTGAGCACAAGGTAAATTAATTCAACTGATATTAAAACAAATTGACAACAGATAATCATGAGAGCAGCACCAAAAAACATTCTTTTTGACTGTCATAAATCTTTTAAGAAATTGATTCACAAGAGGCTATGCATACACACAGTCATCATGGGATGAGATGCAATAAACTGCTAGGGAAAACAGAGCAGGATTAATGGCTTGCTTTCAATGCAGCAAAATGGGGCGAGGGACCACAAAAGTTCTGTGTTAAAACCAATGTTCTGTATGATATCGGAAAAGGAGGAC